AAAGGATTTCTAATATTTCCTGGAAACGTGGGTATACATTCTTATTATTTTTATCTTCAGACCGGTTTTGAATACCAATATTCTCATTCACCAAAAGAAAAAAATAAATGTCCAATATCAAGGCCTATGTAAGAACACAGTATAACTAAACATAACCAAAGGAAACAAAATTAGAATAAAACAAGCCACTTCTAGGCCCAAAAAGTGAAGAGTTATGGTGACTTGTATAAAAATAAAAGACTTAACCTTTTCTGAAAACATTCTAGTCAAGAAACCTTCAAATATTGATTTCTCCAATTAGTTCCAAATTGCCAAATCAATAATGTATAATCAGAGCAACTTGAATCATCTATATAGTCTCAATTTTATTTCCAATTCAAGATAAGTAACCACAAAGTTGAGATAGTATAGTAAGTTCTTGATTGCCTGGATTAACAAACAAACAAACAAAAAAGCAGCCTGAGTTAGATTTTGACATCCCTATTAAAACACCAAAAAAAAAAAAAAAAAACGAGCTTGAGTTGTGGGTTAGTGGTAAAGTGCTCGCCTAGCGTGAGTAGGGCACTGGGCTCCATCCTCAGCACCACATAAAAATGAAATAAAGACACTGTGTCCACCTACAACTAAAAAATAAATATAAAAAAATCAAAAAATATTACTTAGGGATATGTACATATACACATGCACAACACTAATTTTGTGTACATGGTCAAGTAGTTTTATAGTTCTGATTCATCATGTTCTACTATTGTCACCAATTTAGAAATTATTAGGACTAATAAAAGAAAAAAATGAAATTATTTAACTGCATTATGAAGTTTTATAGAAATATAAAACTCCTTTTTAACTTTAGCAACTGGGTAGAGATAAAATATATTTGTAATAGCATACATTATTTCAAGCTTATGTTTAATTCATTATATTTTATAAAACCAGTAACCTGTGGCATATTAAGACTATGTAATAAGTGGTTTCTGAGGATCGTGAAATACAATGGAAGATTAATGTCAAGTAGTCACTATGAAAATGCAAAATAAATAGAAGTTAAATAAAATGTCACATAGAATATTTCTAAAGACAACCGTCATCAGAACCAATCAATCAACTGGAGTCTAAATGGCAATCACAATCCTCCATGGACTTTATGGAATATGAAAACAGCTTATCACTCTGAACACGTGCAAATAGAATATCAAAACAGCAAAGCAAATTAGCATTTATTAAGCACTCACTTAAACTGCTGGAATCAAAATTATATAATTTCTAATTCTTATGGGGAAAATTCTATTGCTATTCACCATTTACTAAGAGCAGTGCCCTCTGCTTTCCTCTGTCCCCGGGGGGAAAAAAAAAACTTTTGAGAAGACAGAATTTACATATAAAATATCAGATGTTTAAGATATTTCTACACTATTTTTTTTTTAAAAAAGAGGCCAAGTTAAAATCATAAGCCTAGTTAACCTACTTGCTTAATAATACTAATAATGGATGTTCTATGCATGTGCATGCCCATGCAAAAGGAAAGAAATTCTTCAACAGACACTGAGTCTCCCAAATATGGTGTGTGTGACTAACAGCTGAGAGGAAATGCAACTGAAACTGTTTGCTAGAGATCCATTAAAACCTAGGCACAGAAAAATGCTGGGTGACAGCAAAGTTGGATGTGCAAATTTGTGCAGGAATGTAGCCAAATTTTTTCAATTCTCTCATAGTCTTAGGTTTATTGACAAATGGCCCTTTCTTTTTTAATTATAATGTTACATCTAAAGAACATCAGTTGAGATAGAAAACCTGCCTGGCCTTTAAAATAAATAGGACTAAGGTTTGAATTTATAAAAGCATGGAATTTCTACTAATGCAAACAAAATATAGCACCAAAAAAATTCCATGTTCCATAAAACTTGCCAGTGTACCTCTCTCAAATCAGTACCTTAGAAAAAATAGCCATACTATTTTCACACTTCATTCTACAATTGACTTTGAATGTATTTGTAATTTTAAAAATTTTTCTGCGGACTCTTTGTGGGTCATATATTCTCTGAAGGGAATAGGATTAGAAAAAATATGTATTTTAAAGCATGTGCTCCCAATACATCAATTTACAGATTTCCTTATGCTCAATCTTTGCTTGTTCTTAGGGGTAAACTAAATACTTAACTCTTTTACAGATCATTTAATAACCACATTTTATTTCAGTCACTTTGTACTTGGTCTCTTCTTTGTTCTCTAGTTGCATGTTTTGAATATTTTTTCAAAAAATCTAAAGAATGATATTTTTCTTTAAAATTTTATAATTTAATCTGGGGGGTTAGATTGTCTACATTACAAAGTACAATATTCTATAACCAGCTCTAATTGTGTGGTGACCCCAAATAAAGTTGTTGAGCATTTTATAGAAAAAGTACCACAATTTTTACAGAATTGTAATAGGTAAAAATGACACAGCACTGTGCAATTGAAGAAGTAATCCTCACAAAATTCACTGAATGCTCAAAACACCCCATGAAGCTGGGCGCAGTGGCGCATGCCTGTAATCCCAGCAACTCAGGAGGCTGAGGCAGGAGGTTCTCAAGTTCAAAGGAAGCCTCAGTAACAGAGAGGTGCTAAACAACTCATTGAGATCCTTTCTCTAAATAAAAAATACAAGATAGGGCTGGGAATGTGGCTCCGTGGTCAAGTGTCCCTGAGTTCAATCTCCGGTACCAAAAAAAAAAAAAAAATCCCTTGATTATGTTTTCCTACTTTACTGAAAAAAGAACCAGAGATGGAAAAAGGTAAGTGATTGAACCAAAGTTACATACCAAGCAACAGACAGAGCCAAGATTCAAATTGGGCTCTCACAGCTAAATCAAATCCACCACTATAATTATAATGTTCCAATTCTTTCATAAATAATCTAATTTGATCATTATAACAACCTTATTAGAGTTGTTATATTCACCAAATACATATAACGTGGCAGATACTATATTGTTCTACACTGTAGTAATTCATTTGCTGCATGCAAAACTCTATAAGAAAGAGTTTTATTATTACCCTATTTTACAGATAAAAAAACAAAACAACTGAAGCTCAGAGAAAAGAGGGCAAAATGCCCAAGATCACATGGTTAGTAGGTATTGATAGGAATCAGAATTCAATCCTGACCATTTGGGTCCAGTGCTAATGACATTCTTTACTTGTTCATTTTTAGGCAAGTTACCAGAAAAAAAAATATGCAGAGGAAGAACAAGAATTTCTTCTAACTCTTCACCCTAGCTACTTTTTCAACATGTAGTGAAATACTCGGAGTCATTAAACCTAGAAAGGGCAAGACGACTTGGGTGCAGGTGGTTTTGTGAAGCACAGTTTGAGAACAGTTGAGAGACACTGGCAAAGTGGCAGGGAGAAGAAATTCCATCAAGCTAATCAAGCTAGGGAAGATTTATCTTCCATAGATTGGAGGCAGAACAGAGTAAAACAAATGTAAACATGGACAAGGGTATTTGTCATTCTGATGTAGAATTATGAAGTGGTGTGGATGAAGAGGTATGACTCTAATCAAGGAAATCAGTAAAAGTGTAGCACTAGAGTAAGTTGTTTTGAGAAAAAAATTAAAGTGACCAAAAGATTTGGAATAGGTTTTATAATGGCTCCAAAAGAAGTGATACCCTCACACTTGTCAAAATGATATAATCCTACACATCAAAAGAAATAAGGTAATCACTGAACAAAATCTACTCATTTTTCTTCTTTTTTTTTTCTAAAATGGTATTCATAGTTTCGTAACTTCTTTTTCATTGTTAACTTACTATGGAATAGAGACTAAGGAAGGGAGAACATAATTAGCACAACATGCTTCTCATTAGTTTTCATACCAAGATTCTATGATGCTGGTTACTTTAGCAATAGATCTGCCTCAGATGCATATTAAAATCAGATGAAGGAAATTACAACAAAATTCCATTCAAATGAATAAACTGAAATGCCAACTTAAATCTAAAGTACGTGTTAAAAGTAGAATTTGCAATGAATTAAAAAAAAAAAAAAAAAAGCACTGGATAAAGGCAATGATCCCAGGACACCAGTAAGAAGTACTTTTGAAAAGCCATGTTAAATGAGGAAAACTGGAAAACTAATGGAATTTCTTCTCTCATTACCTAAAATAAACCAGGACACTGAAATGGGCTTACACTATAGTATTTTGTTCATTTTAATTTCATTTTTATTTCATCAAACCACAAATTCCCATGGAAATACCTCAGACACGTGCCCACAACAATTGGAATGCCTAACATTTCAGTATAAGTACTTTTGTGAGAGTTCAACAAAATAAAAAGAATGCAGTGATATTCCTCCAAGTTTTCTGCTTATGTCAATCGCTATTTTATGATTATTAAATTATCTCTGTGATTGTAAACTGCATGTGTAGAATACATTAAATGATCCCATGTGAAGCCTTAAGTCAGAAGACCACATAAAGATCTAAACTACACACAGAGACATCAAAATCAAGCTGAACTTCTTAGAATATAACAATCATAATTTTTTTTCTCCTGAAGCCATTACTGTTAAATATAACTTGATGAATTAAGTTCAAGTGTAACTACAATTGAAATATATGATTCACCTGAGCTATGACCTATTTTTCCTCTCAAAAGCAAACAGGAATCATGACAGTTGTAAGACATATTTTTCCATTCCAGGATCCTCTAAAACTTCTTTTACAGTACAGTTAAAAGTAAAATGAACTTATTGACACTTATTTGCTTTACAAAATAGTTACTTATGTTATTGCTCATAACACAGAATTTTAGTGATTTATTAAATAAAAACAATTATATTTGGTCATTTATCTGTACAGACCAAGAGGCATTCAGGAAAGAATAATGTCAATATGTAATATGATACCTACATCTAAAATTCAATTATAACTACATGACATATTTACTTATAAGAAAATCAACAATTAGCATGACATATACAAAAATAAACATATATATGTGGATGAAAATACCCACCCCTAGCAGAAAGCTTTTTGGTGTTGATAATTTTGGCAGCATACTCTTGTCCAGTAGGGATTTTCATACATCTTCTGACCACTGAGAATGCCCCCCTGGAAACCAATAATTAGCAGGTTATCAATATAATCAGACCTAGCATTCTATTAAAAATTTACAAAACTTGGACATTTTTAACTGATTTGGGTGGACTATTAAATATCAATGTAACACAGCAATATTCAGAAAATGAACAATTCTTCCTGGAAACCCACACCTTCTTAATGTTAACGAATAAAATCAATTTTATTTAGCTGGAAGCACACATTACTAATCAACAAAATGAAAGGAACTGCCAATTATGACCGCTCTTGTTTGCACATGAAATTTGAAAACATTTTGCAATTCACACTCACAGCACCAAATGCTCTGAGAAAACCTTGCTAAGCACAGAGCTGAGGAAGAGCAGCAAAAATCTGCTGCCTATTTATTTTGGTAGGGAAAAAAAAGGGGAAAAAAATGAATGTGACTCCAAGTAAGTAAATATGGCGATTATTTTCATTAAAATATAAATCTTGAGCACACTGATGTGCTTTAACAAATTCTGGTATGGTGATTTCTCCATGTCCTGTTTTAGGCTGGGGGAGGGGAGAGGGTTGAATTAAGCTGCTCTTCCGACATATTCTCCATGTTTTAACAGCAGACAATATAAAAAGGTGGTTTTGACGACATTTAAAAATATTTATTTCCTTCAATTCAACCGTATAATCCAACAATGCCTCTCAATGCACACCTTTCAAAAAAGTGGAAACTAGCGATAGAGAAGGATTTGGGTTTGATGCTACATAAATCAACATTCATGACTCTGCCCCTAGGTTCCTTTGCACAGATCCTCAGTAGGTATTCTGTCCTCTTCCTTAACATTTCCAAGTAGTTCTTGCCAGTTAAGCGTAGGAGGTCGTTTATACAACGCTAGGCTACCCTTGGGAAGCGCTCTCCCAGTCTCCAAAGGGCTTTTCCGCTGCCTGTATAAATAAATCCTCCCAGAGAATGCAAAGATGCACACATAAATCCTAGCAAGAATGATGGTAAGCGAGTAATCTAGCGCAAAGAATAATAGCGAATATAGGGCAGGGGGTTGGGTTCTGTTGGGTGGCCCTTTTCCTGGACAGAACTACTGGATGCGAAACAGACTCTACATCAAGCCAAGTTGAACTTTCGGCATCAATAAATATGG